TGCCTTATGCAGTGAAAATAGGGATGGATGATGTGTTGGCTCACCATCATAATAAAATTAATATGAAGCAGGAGGAAACAGTGTGGATGAATATAGGGCAGAAGAAGGGTGAGCTGATGAGGATGTAGACCTTTGAGAAGACAAGGTCAGGGGTAAAGGCGAACAGATATTAATGATAGTGAACTAATCTTGTGAGGAAATGTCATCACACCAGGAGGTTAATTTAGGATCAGCAAGAGAGGGTAAGAATTCAGAGGGGCGTTGAGGTGTCAATATTAAGAAATAATGTCAAAACATCTATAAAACAAAACAAAATTACTCTGGCATCCGTATTTATAACTTGTCTGTATGCTGACAGTCAGAGTAATTGCCACTGCGTATCAGTCAGCTCTTTGACATTACCACATCCTAACTGTCCAAAATGATTTATTACCCCGCACATTCAACACATTTGGGGTTCTCTTCCTTCCCCAATATATTAAAACCTTTTTCCCCCCATTTTTATTTCTTGTAAAGATATTCATGTCTCTCCATCTCACACACACACAGGACGCTTCCTTCACTTCATCTCCCAGCCATTTAAAAAACGAATGTATTAAAATGCTGCGTTCTGCAGTTCACAGACACCCACTTGGCGGATTAGTGGCAAAGCAAGGAAGCCATGTTTAAACAGTGGCTAATCCGTTAATTGAATGCAGATTTATTCCAGCCCCGCGCTTGGACTGGATTTAACACACTCTACTGGGAGCATGTGGGGCGGGTGGGGGGGATGTTCCCTGCCAGGGTCAGACACTGCAGCGGCATATTGAAAATTGATTTTCAACCCTTTTTAGGAAACCACTGTCATTTAAGTGTCACATTAATTCCTGTCCTGCTGTCCCGGTGAGCGATGCTGGGCTAACCTCACAGGGTTGTGCTGTCAGAGCGCACACATTCTCCTGACTGAACGGAAAATGACCTTCTGTATCACTTTAGCTGTGTAAATGAATGTCAGATTCAGGCAATCAAATAATCCCTCAGTCAATTATATCAGGTTTCCATCACTGTTACAGCTGGAGATCATACTGTTCATCTGTAAAGCCTGAGGCAGAATGAGGAGCATGCAGTATGTTCTTACAGTACAAGGCTTCATTATCCTTGGTCGATGGCTCAGTTATGTTTATCATGATGGCAGACACGCCTGGGGATATATTCGATATCAAAAAAGTCTTCCGTTTACACGGATACGGCTCAATAAACGTGTCCCTTCACACGAGACCGCTCGACCCGCAGGAGACGCTGTAGTACATATGCCGGGCCTGTAAGTGGCGCTGTACTTCCGCCACAAAATACACCAAAAGCAGCGAAGAAGACCCCCGAGCATGGTTGCCTGGTTGCCCTTCTGTTTATTCTCCACAGTGGATTTAGCAACATGTAGTTCATGTAGTTCTCCATGTCCACTTGTTGCTGATGGTTGTGGTAGAGGAGCTGTAGATGTTGCACTAACATCTGTAGCATGGTCATTAGCAGTAGCTACTGACAGTAGCTACTGACCATGCTACAGCAGTGAGCAGCAGAGGTGGGGGAACATGGTCCAACAATAGTATGGTCGTCTTACCCAGACTGAGCAAGAAAGCAAGGACAGACTACTTCTGGTCCTCACCCGACGCTAGTTCCAAATCGGATGGATCGATCACCGATCGTGCAATCAATCTTGTAATGTCGGAACAGTAAAAAAATAATCGGAATTGGTACTTCGATTGTAATTTCACGCTGCATAAGTAAGATATAAACTTCATTATAGTCACGAATCCTGGTATCTGGATGTTCATATATCTCCGATATAATTGAATAATAGAAATTAAAAGTTTTATGGTTTGTCTAGTACTGGTAAAATCGGTAAGGAGTAAAGCGAGTTAAATTGTGACAGAAACGTACACGGACTTAGACACTCTTGTCGTGGTTAAATGTCCGGACCGTATTATAATACATGGATTGTGTTGCATTGGCGTCTTTGCCTGGGGAGTTTGCTATTGCACAGAGGGTTGCACCCTATCTAGACGTCTGGCTTGCGGAGAACCCCCCGGTTTGCCGAGGCACAGATGCAGGATAGTGCTATTAAAGGACTATTGCTACTTCGGGGCNCCAGAGGGTTAAAACATCCATTAACCTTTATGTGCAATAAGTGAATCCACACAATAGGTTTATTTATTCAATTAGGTAATGTTACGTTAAGGGAAGTTTTAAATAAACCTATTGTGTGGATTCACTTATTGCACATAAAGGTTAATGGATGTTTTAACCCTCTGGAGTCTAAGGGTATTTTCTCAATTTTTAGATGTTTCCTTAAATCACCTTTTAAATGTACTTCTTATAATATGGTGTTACATATCCAAATGTTCAGGACAATCTCTGGTCTTGCTATAAAAGCAAATTACTCAACTTAGAGCACTGTGTGATGAGACAAGTAGCTCTAGAGCTTAACATTTGACATCCGATTTTCGGAAAATCTTCAAAACTCTTGTGAAAACCAAGCGGCAAACTCTGGGGAAGAGCAGGGACGCTAATACGGAAGTGCCTCAAACTGCAGTTCATCTAGTGGCCAGTAGGAGCAGTCTGCAGAAGTGTGCAATTTCCATAGACCCCAATGTTAAAATGCCCAACTTTACAGCAGAAATAAACATGTTTACATCGTGGTTCAAAAAACCATATTCTCTGTCTAGTTAGATCCCCCCCCTTCATGAATATGGACTGGGGGGGTGAATTTTTTCTCAAGTCAACTGTTTAATTAATATTAAGCCTTAAAGCTTTTGCATAAATTAGGGCGTGGTCACTTTGATGGACNAGAAATGCGGGAGTCTCCCGCGAAAATCGGGAGGGTTGGAAAGTATGACACACACACACACACACACACACACACACACAGTTTTGTCACCATTTCCATAGCCCCACCAAAAATATTTTCCACCAGCCGCCACTGCTGCTTGTGTATACTTACACAATAGGTGTACTGTTCTCTCTATGTGTTGTCAACCCAGTCTCATGGCATTTCGTGTTAACCAACACAATTTTCCCCTTTTTTTCGTGTTGCACAGCACGATTTTAAAAGCAATGTATATATACATATCAAAATAAAGTGTTACCGTTGTATGTATTGATTTAAATTGACATGCATCCGCTAAGAAAAATAGTCCGTTGCTACCGTTTTTTAAACAGTCTGAATGAAACGGCAGCTCTCTCCCCCCTCCCCCCTGATCTTTCTTCTCCAGCAGCTAAATTAACTTAGGTTACTCTGAGTGACCATAGACTGTATGTGACAAGCTTACAGTTAGTGACGTNGACTAATAAAGAGCCAATATACTGCTAATATGCATGTTAATTAACAACTATCATATAAGCGGTACAACTTCATATTAAGGTACACAAATTCACCATCAACTAGTTGTTAATTAACATGCATATTAGCAGTATATTGGCTCTTTATTAGTCTTTATAAAACACTTATTAATGTCTTATTCTACATGACCAGATTATACAAGTAAAGTAATATGCCATTAGTTGAGAGTTTTTCCTCAATAACCCTCTAATACCAATACAAAGGAGGATGCCTCATCAATACCAGACTTCCAGGACAGACCATTTAATAATATACTCAATAATTGGACTTAAAATAAAAGGTCATCCATAAAAATAAAAAATCGAACTTAGATGCCGCAAAAGCATCAGGACCGGATGGCATCTATCCCAGGATTCTCAAAGAATTGTGTGACAAACTTTTAAAAATTGCTTGATGAAGGTGTGGTACCACAGCCTTGGAAAGATGGTCATGTACGGAATGATGTATACTCGGACGCCTATAGGAGAGGACGCTGGCGCTGGTTGTTCGCCGCTTCTCCAACGGAGCTAGTCTAGGGCTAGTTTAAGACTAGTTTTACATTCAATTTTAGATTGTATTTACTTATTACCAGTGGCGGCTGGTGGAAAATATTTTTGGTGGGGCTATGGAAATGGTGACAAAACTGTGTGTGTGTGTGTGTGTGTGTCATACTTTCCAACCCTCCCGATTTTCGCGGGAGACTCCCGCATTTCTCCCGATTTCTGACAAAATCAGATTTACTCACGACTGTTTCCACTCGGACTTTAATACAGCTACACCATTGTTTGGTTTCCATGGTAGCGCGTCTCTTTAGCAGCGCGCGCAACTCAAAGTCTGAGAGGGTGAGGAAGATGAAAACTGAACAAGAATCGACAACTCGACCCTCTGATCACTCCTTTCCTGTAAAATACAGGTCCAGCCCACACATATGCTCCATGGTGCCACAGGCATTGCCCTTACAACTACAATAAGCATGCAAATGTTAATCGACAGCTCCGGCGATCCACTAGCACCGGAGTCGACACCTGCAGACGCAGCCATCCCCCACTGTAGCGTCACCTTGGATACGAGTCTAAACAACTCACAGACACACAGGCCAGGGCGCTGAAAGGGCGCCCTTTGAGCATCAGATCTGACGACGCTGATTGGCTGAAATTATGTTTCGGCGGCATAGTTTACAGATAGCAACAGTCAGCTTGTTGGCTGCAGCTGCTCTGGCTGAGGGCTCCTTTCTACCGCCCGGACGAGAGAGGGTAATGATACACGCTGCGGCCAGGCAGGAAACATGTGACTTATCAGTAACTTTAGACATCGTAAAACAATTTTAAACGAGATTTTATTGTAGATTATACATTTTACTGATACCAACTATATAATATTTACCTTGTTCTTTAAAAATAAAAATAAAAATAAAAATATTTTTTAATTTATTTTTAATTTGTAATGACTATCAAACATGTGGGAAGAGCCGCCACTGCCCCTTAGTGTATATCACCTTTTAAAGTTATAATTTCTATTTTAATGTTTGGTGTCTTTGTTAAGCGAGCTGTTGATTTAATTTTATACTTTCAATAAATGATTTCACCTCCTGCTAACAAGGTCACTCTACAAATGCTAGAATACGTTTTAACCATGGTACAAATCCTTATAAATGCCATGACTATGCCCCATCTTTCCAGCAGAGGGCACAGTTGCACACAGTCTTCAATGATGAATGGAGCATTGTAACTTCTGCTGTCATACAATCATGATCAATGTTTATTTCTGTAGTGAAAAGGTCTACCCAGGTTGAGGATGTACCTTGTGTCTCCTGTCCCCAGGACTGAGGCTTAGGTGGGGCCCTGTACTGTGTTGCCGTGGTCGTGGCACTCCACTTAGGTCCGTCCATAGCACCCATCTGACGTGGGATCTTAACAGACATGTCAGTCCAACCTCCTCCATTGACTGAAGGCTCCTCTCTGCGGCTGGACGTCACTGAGGACATGGACAGAGTCAAAATGTCAGTTTTGTCAAACAGAGACAATCTACAGTCTAACAGCAGATTCTGTAATTTAGAGCTGAGATTACTGATTCTAAAACCATTGTTTACAGGCTTGTTTGGTTACCAAACCCAGGCAATCATCTTCATGTATATCCTCCATCTCATGTAATAAAATCAACATTTAAAAAAGGAATCTATTTCATCGTTTTCCAGTAACTTCATCTCAGTTACTAAAGAATAATAGTTTATCTTTGTCTTTACCAGCTCCAGTAGTTGTCTCCCCCTTTCCAGTGGCTTTTGAATGCAGGGAGTCTGTTTGAGAGAAATATGTGTCAGTAATATAGAATATGTCTAGATATGAGGGAAATGTTTTTAAAACTTTTTTAATTCAGGAATATAAACAACTTCCACATATAGACTCTTACATTATCTAGAATATTCCCTGCAGCCTATAAAGTAACATTTATAGAATAACTGTGAATTTATAACTGTGAAACTATGTGTTGGTCAATTACAAAAAAAAGTAGCACAATATTTTCACTCTCTTGCCTTGTGCTTTCCTCATGTGGACACATAGGGGATCCAATCACTATTTGAATTATCCCATAATCACTATGAAGGATAGGTACATCCTTTCTTCAACAGGGATACAAAATAATTGAGCCAAGGCGGTGATATAAGGGCCAGAGGAATCCCCTCCTGGAATTTACACCCAGCTTAGACGGTTATTATTGCATCTTAAATAAACGTTTGTCAAACTGCTATGTACCGTGGTTTCCTTTGTTTTTCTTGGTGTTGGTAGGTGCTGTGGCCACAAGTGCCTCAGCGTTGCTCTTGGGAGCCTCCGCTCCTCCTGGGCTACCAGAGTCCCCAGAGCCCGGGTCCTTCCTACGCTGCTGTTTCTTCTCTCGGTTACTAACTTTGGTCTCCCATGCACCTGGTGGAAACAAATAAACAAAATTAAAACGGTTAGGCGACTTACCATCTGCAATGCAATGATAAATAAGTATGTTAGATGGTTGACTGGGGATGAAACTTGTTTGATTCCTTGGAACAGGTAAACTGAATGGTAAATGTAGGTGAATCAAAAAACTGCAGAGGTCAAATAAGTTGGGAATACTGAGAACGAGGTAAAACAAACAAGTCATATAAAGAAAAGAGAAAATGAGTTACCATCATCAGTTTCCTTCCCATCAGTTTTAGACACATGCTTGACAGGTTGCACAATTGTCTTGGTTTTCTTCTTGTTCTTTTTCACCTGCCCCGGGGCTTGTACCTCATGCACCTGTTTATGGAAAAAATAAAAAGCTAGTTTGAAATACAGTATGCGAACTATAAGAAAAATACAAATGTCAATTATGTATCTTTGTTTTGAATAAGGCCATGCCAGGTAAATGTCATTTAAACAACAAAACTGTCTCATAAAACTGCCTGCCGCTCATCATCTGTTCCGCTTCATTTAGGCAACAGCTTCTCAAATATACCTTCTCGGTTCTGATACGAGGAGCTTGCTTGGAGACAACCTCGACCACTTTAACTTCCTCTTGTGCTACAGCCACTGGTTGTCCGTTGGATTGAGTGTTCTGGGGTAGAAAGAAAGACAACAAATTAACGTGTTGATGATCCATTCAGCAAACACAAAACTAATCTGAAGTCTGTTAACCCATCTTTCATTTCAGATCATTTGTAGAATAAACTAACTGTTTTTTATTTTGGAGTATACTTCATAAATGTACAATACAAAAATTGCCCATCAACGTTTTTGAATCCACTGAGACTTGTTAAACTAGTACACAGGATGCATTTATGTTGTTTCATTTAACATGACGTGTTACACCTGACTACAATGCTGAAGTCGAATAGAGACCTACGTTCACAGCTTTCAGAGCAGCTATGTGTAAACCGTGCCATGTTCACGTTACAAGTACCATTTTTAATTAGACGTGTAAAGGCAAGCAGTGTGCTTATTAAGTACAGTGTGTTTTATATTATAGTTGTTGGCCTGCGATAACATTTTAACGAGTTAGCATGAACCGTTAGTTAGCTCTAGTGGCTTGTCAGTTGGCTATATCAGCTAGCTAGTTAGCATCCTATTCTAGAACCAGATACCATGATTCATTGTATATTTAGCCAACTGGTTTATTTCTATATTTTTGAAAGTAGGTCACATGATGGTCATAGATATTTTGTTGTTGTGTAAACAAAGTGGGCTGGCTAACGCTGGCTTTAGCTAGTCACTGATATATGATAAATTAAAGCTGGCTACCTAACGTTACCTTCAACTTTACTGATAAATAATGGGTATACATGTATAAATTAGCTTATGCTAACTGAGTGAACACTTTGTTTAGGGTTAATTGTGTTAAGAGACATCAATGAATAGACGCACTTGTTCTGTTAAACCGTGATTCAGCAGCTCGTAAACCCTGCCCACCTTTTCAATCGTTTTCTTTTTGTTCCTCTTCTTCGGTTCTTCTGGTTTGGCAGTTTTGGCCAAATTGGCCTTGCTCGGCTCACCGTTGCCTTGGGGGACCGGGAATCCCCGCTTTTTCCCAGCAAACAGACCGCGACAGACGGCGGCCCAGGACAGTGAGAGTACCAGGAACAGACCCACCGCGGCCGTAGATAGGATGACCCAAGTCGGGTACACTTCAGGCTTCAGACCCAAATCTACCCCGAACTGAGCCCGGACATTGTCTTGTCCCCAATAAATCAGCACTTTCAAGCGGCTGGAAATCAGCTCGGCTTTTTCCAAAGCAAAACCTCGCAAATCCACAGCCATCTTTCCAAATCACGAAACACTAGCGCTAGCTCACTGCTGTCAGCTATCATTACCAACATCCGTATGCTAACGGAGGAGTGGCTAATGTAATCTGATTGATGGATAAATCACTAAAAAAACTACACTACGCAGTATAGGACACTGGTTTATTGTGAGCATTTGGATCTCAACATTATCTGTGAAATAAATGTGCCTCTTTGATAGCTGTGTTGAACAGAACATTCATCACAAAAACATTTTGATAACAAAAAAGGACATTTCAGTTTTTAGAAAAAAACATTTTTTTATTGTACAATAAAAATGACATGTTTTAACAATCCACCATAAAAGGCCAGTTGCCAGAACTGCATCTCCATAAAACCTATTGTAAATATTAACCATCTTTACATTTCCAATGAGGGTCAGAATAATCACTCATCACCACACATTCATGTTTAACTGCGGAGTTGACTGCCTTTGGCATAGCAAGCTTTCTGTATTGTGAAAATAAATGAAAACCTTTCTTTAACCCTGGCTTTTAATTTTGGAGTGATATTATAGCCTTAGATTTAAAAATTGTTGTCATCATTTCTTATCCCCGGTGTTTGTTTATCTTTTTTTTTTAAACAGATTTTTAACATGTTATTATAGTTTTCGTTAAGTCCGTGCATGTGAAGAACTTTAGGCACTAGGTGTGTATGAAACTACAGTATATCAATAAATAAAGTTGAGTAACCAAACTGTGCTACGCCAAGGTGAAAAAAGAAAAGCCATGAGCAGGCCTTGAAGGATCCATTAGTTCACCCTATGTCACTTTGCAAACAATATTTACTGATAATTAAAGGTCGGGTAGGTAAGTTTGAGAAACCGGCTCGAGATACACTTTTTGTTATATTCCATGGAATGCTCTTAACAACTCGATAGCAATGAATATCTTAAGTGCTTTAGGCAAAAAATCCATAAAAAAATGTCATCTGTGGAAGCTGTAGTACTGTAAAAAGCACGGCTAAAATGATTGGATGGCCTACTTGCCTGTCAGCCTTCCATCTGTGCACACAAACTTATCTCGAGCTGGTTTCTCTAAAATTACCTAATCCCTATTCCCCAAGAGTTGTAAATGTCTGCTGGACGAGTGCAGCTTTAACCTTTCAATCATTAATTTGTCCTTTGTAGTTCCATGATTGTATTGTAACAAGACTTTAGGCCAGTTTTAGTCAATAACTGCTTTAACAAAATAAATAGATAGTCAAATGTAACAAAAAATGTAACAAAATCTTATTTCCTTTTCAGAAGTCTGCATCCAGAGTGAATTCACTGTCTGTCATGCTCGACATTACTCCAAATCTCTGATACTCCCCTACTCGTTTCTCAAAGAAGTTGGTTTTCCCCTCCAGTGAAATGGACTCCATGAAGTCAAACGGATTTTCAGATAGGTATACCTTAGATAAAGGAGAGAAAAGGTTACTCAAATGATTCACTTTTTCATTGTGATTTATTTTGTCAGATAATGTGTAAAGCAGTGGTTCTCAACTGGTCAGGCCTCGGGACCCACTTTTTACTTGGTCAATACATCGCGACCCTACATTTTGAAGCACTCAAATCTATTCAACAAAAAATCATGCTGTAATATATACGCTTTTCAGCATACAATATTAATACAAGTGAAGTACAGTGCATATATCCCTTATATCCCTTCACAGAACTAAAGTATGCTTTTAAAAAAGGTTTAATGAGATGATGGAATCAAAGCTGAACTATATAAAAAGGCACACATGCTGTAAATCCAACCCCAGCAGGGGGGTCTGGGGGGAATCTCCACCAGGAGATTTTTAGAAATACTAACATAAACTATGCATTCTGGTACACTCGGAGAAGAAAATAAATAAATCTANGGCCTTCAAAATAAAAGTTTGACTTTCCCCCCCCCATATTAATACAAGTGAAGTACAGTGCATATATCCCTTATATCCCCACAGAAAAAAATAATATTTTATGCCATTGTTTGTTTTTCACTTTGTTCTGACATCTTGCTGCGAGAAGAGCAAAGAGCAGATAGTCTGTGTGACTTACTTTAAATTGTGGGTAGGGTAGATAGCCCCCATTGTTCTGTGACCTGTCAATCATCAAACCGGGGGTCATATTTCATTATGTGTTCATTTTTATCTGAAGTTGTACCCATGGATGTATAAAGAAGAGTTCTACCGCAAAGTTATTCTCCGGGGGACTTCCGGCAACAATCTTGATTCTGATTGTCGAAAAAACATCAGCAAAGATATTTTATTGAGAAGATGATCACTATGTGACAGAAGTTTTCAAAACCGTTTATGGTCTCCGGTACTTCCAGTCCAACACCGACTGCATGCACAGCGTTAGAAAATCGGGCCTTCAAAATAAAAGTTTGACTTTCCCCCCCCCAAAAAAAAAATAAATTCCAACTTTTTTTTTCTTCACTCACACTTCCGCGACCCACTCGAAACGGGTCCGCGACCCACTTTTGGGTCGCGAACCACTGGTGTAAAGCATTATATTGCTTTGGTTGTACTTCAATTATTCTCAACCCAGGGTTCCTCTGCTTTAACACAGCAGCCACAACAGTATAAAGGGGTTCAATGAGTAATAACCATTTATGTATTTTATATAAAAAGTTACCTTGGCCAGTCCGAGGTCAACAAGAAGCCGGTCGGCAACAAACTCGATGTACTGCCTCATCAGACAACAGTTGATTCCAATGAGGTCAACTGGTAAGGCCTCCGTCAGAAACTCCTGCAACACAAAATACGTTAAAGAAAAGTCTAGATTTAATTAGATCTAGACTTCATATAATGTAAATCTAATCGTATCTTGTGTAAAGCAATGGTAATCAATATAAACAAAGCAATCAGTAACAAACAAGCAGAGATTAACTGTATGTTTACACAAATGATAATGTGTGATCTGGGTTGAGTGTATCTCTCCAACATAAGCTGATTACCTGCTCAATGCTCACAGCTTTGGTGATGATGTCCTTCACCCTGTCCTCTGATGGCTTCTTCACCAGGTAGCTGTACAGCAGGCAGGCAAAGTTACAGTGCAGACCCTAAAAACACATCAGTATACATGTCAGAGTAGTTGATAGAAAGAGAGAAAAACATACATTGAATCAGAATACCTTTATTAGTCCCACAGAGGGGAACATTTGCAGATATAGGTACCATTTCCATATTAAAATATAAAAAAAAAAACACAACTAAAGAGCTATATATTTTTTTGTTTTGGCAATTATTCCAAATGTTTCTAACAAATGTCAAACCTAGACCAATCTGTAATTTCAGAAAGGTCAAGATACGTTGTATTTCATCACCTTTCATTGCCGTAGTATCCTCTTTGCTCCATGCATCATCATTGTGGTTGTCTACACAGCCTAACCATTACGCAAGTGTGTCCAAGATGTTAGGTAAACCTAAACTTGATCCTGAAACTGGCTATGATTTTATATTTGTAGCCCGAGATCCCTCTTTTCTTCCAGCTTCCCTTGATTAAACAACATGTCTTTTGATTGTAAATTCATCTCACCTCATCCCTGCTAATCAGCTCGTTGGAGTAGGTAAGGCCGGGCATTAGTCCTCTCTTCTTGAGCCAATAGATTGCAGCAAAAGAGCCAGAGAAGAAGATGCCCTCGACTGCCGCAAAAGCCACAAGGCGCTCCGCTGAGGACAGAAAGTGTCAAACCTGTTATTAGCTATACATAACAAGAAGCTCCTCTAGGCGAGGATTTCTCCTTTTAATTTCATTAACAATATGATGGTTCGAAGTTGCATCTTCCTCACCAAATGACGATTTGCTGTCATTTATCCAATGGAGGGCCCAGTCTGCTTTTCGTCTCACACAAGGCAATGTCTGAACTGCGTTAAATAAGTTGTCCCTGAAACACACATAGTATACAATTTGATTTACTTTCTTCAAACATATAGCCTCAGCAGACCAAATACAGTACATATATATAGCTCAATCATTTTTTTGCATGTCAACAGGAAATGCAGTATTTTACCCACAATTCTCAACAAATAAATCCAAATCAAGTATTAGCTTAAAACTAAAAAGTGGAAAGCTTGTAAAGGTACAGACTGAAAGAAATGCAGCAAAAATATGTACGGTTAATACTTTATTTGAATTGCCTGTTGATCAAGAGGCTATGAGATTGTTATCTTCCTAAACTGTAGGTACATCAAAGCTGATGCAGCTGGGAATGCAACTTTCATCTCAGCTAGTAGACCTAGCCCGTGATAAACAGGTGCAAATCTAACGGTTGGATTTGAATCTTCATAAGAAGTTGTCTGTGGTTATGCACTTTCTCAAAATGCACTGAGACAATCTTTACCATCTAACTATATTTTATTTGCTTAAATGTTAGTTTTTTCTCATCGAGCCACAATCGGTCGAGCTGTGTAATTTGATTTGATGCTCATTTTCTACATCACAAAAAACTAAACTAGTCTAAATTGCTTAAAATTAACCTTTCAACAGTCACCTTCATGTAAGTTTGTCTTCCAGGATCTTACAGGATGGGACCATAAACAAAACTAACCTCTCCTTCAGGTCCCTGACGTATGTGTTGATGAGCATACTGTACATCTCTGAATGAACCGTCTCTATAAGGATCTGGAAGCTGTAGAAGGAGCGTGCTTCAGGGACCTGCACCTCCTGGCAGAACCTCTGCACCTGTTAGACAAAAACAACAAGTTTTTTGTTTTTTTTAACCCTGGCACATTATCCTTGTGTAAAGTATAATCATGCTCTGAATCCATTAGTGCCATCTGTTGTTTACACAGAAAACGTTCCAAAAAAGCACACAATCTACAAACGTATGCAACATCCAAAATCCCTCACCAGGTTCTCATTGACGATACCATCACTTGCAGCAAAGAAGGCGAGGATATGGGAGATGAAGTGTTTCTCCCCAGGTTTCAAACGGTCCCAGTGTGGCAAGTCTTTGGATAGATCAACCTGAAAGAAGCAACACCAACAGTATAATCTTCTGTCATATATGCTGCGTCTTAATCAGGTTTTCCCCATGATAACAGGCTTGGAGAATGACACAGTGTCTCATAGTTTTGTTTTTGCGTGGGGCTGTAACATATACATAAGTACTTATTTGTGGGAAACCAGGAAAATAAAACAAACACTTTTATAATGTAATGCAAATACAGTAGTATTTCATTTACATTACATTAAAAGATACTGCACATTCTAATTTATACAGCATATTGAATTACATGTACAATTCAAAGTCATCTAACCACATTTAAAAGAAAACTTCCCAGGCCATTGTATTTTCTTGGTACAGTAAAACTGAAACCCACCTCCTCCACCGTCCAGAAGGAGGCCTGAGCCTGCTTGTACATCCTCCAGATCTCGGGGTACTGGATGGGGAAGATGACAAACCGTCTGGGGTTGTCCCGGAGCAAAGGTTCTTCCTCTTTCTCTGTATCATTTTGACAGTCTGGGTCTTTCTCTTTGATGCCATTCTACAAAGAGCCAGAGCACACCAAGGAAACACATGTCACCTCACTTTTGATATAGTATTTATTTTTAAATATATATTATCTACATTATATACTCATCCCTGTACAACCAAAGAACACATTATTACAACCACTGTTTAAATACACCTCCCCACCTTAAATAATAATTATTGATACATATGTAATGCTTTCTTTTAAGCATCTATTCTTAAACGCAGTTATAATTAAACTTTGTAGCTTTGTAAATGTTATCTACAACATTACTGATGAACATTAGCTAACATGAGTAGAAAAGTCAAGTGTATGACATTTAAAATCATATTTATTCAACTAACAATAACAAATGTCTCTGTAGCAAACGCCTCTATTTATCGGTAAACTGACAGCAGTGTAGCTTATTTTTGACGTTACGTAGTCTCTTGCTAGCTCTCACGCTACTCCCGAGTGATGTAATGAAAATGCTTACCGGTTCTTTAAGATGTTCAGACTGCCGACTCATTAGGTCCATTTCTTGAGAAGACTATTATTTCACTGTCGGTGTCATTCGGGGTGCTAAACGTGGTGCATCTATCTGTTACTCCGTCTCATAACCTTGTGTGGACAGTGAACACAGCAGCTGTAGCTTTGTTGGCTAACCCTTTAAACTGACTCAGAGGGAGTGTAGCGCCTCTAGTGCTCATAGACGAGACATGCTACATTATAAAACCACAAAAATAAAAGCCCAACAGCAGTATGCATCGACTTTAATAACTCTGCTAACATCAGCATACCAGTCTCTCATTTGCAAAAACAAGTAGAACAAGAAAAAATCAGTCAGTCTTTCAGAATGATAAATTCTTTAATTGAAAAGGAATGCAATTTAAAATGAAATCTTTAACAAATAGCATGCCGATGTGAGTATGTGGAGGAATTTTTCATATTTTCCTTTGTGTTTGGAATGACAGCATGACTTAAATGAAATCCAGATCGCTACACCGGTATGTTGTGAATCCCCAACCTGAACACATCATTTGTGCACGCCCATGCGCCGTTTTGGCATTTCAGCATAAACACTTGATGAAAGGCCATCGGTGGATCATCATCTACCTGTTACAGAAGCAGTTGAGAAGTATTTGTGAGCACAACGATTATACTCCAATTTCTACCGAAGCAGAAATGTATTATACACATCACACAAGATAATTTCTGTAACCATACATGACATATTCAATGTTATGTTTTTGTAAATTAACACAAGTTGTTTGGACTATAGTAGCAAAGACAATCAGATGTAGCAGGTCAATCAACAAAATGTTATTTATATATATCCAGAAACATATAATTACAACTTAAATATATATTCTCCTTTGGCGAAATATGCATTATATGTAAACTACAAAAAACTCAATTTGTTCATCATCAGATCAAAAGACAAAAAAACAACAACACTCTAGAGAAATGTATATTAAATACCACTATATTTATATAGCCTATTTTAGTAATATATATTAGAAGGAAATTACTGCAAGTGTTTCCACAGCACATTGCTCTGATTCAGACAAGAGGTTGTCTACAAAAATGTTCAAGCTCACCTGCAACTGTCCAAACACCATGATCAGGATACAACTGTCTACCGTGGGTTGGAAGTCTTGTTCTGTGATAATGTGTTTAATACGCTTGAAAGGCAGGTTCTGTAAATGGGGAACAATAGCATTTATTAATAGTGTACAATAACAAAAACGGGATGCTTTGATATGAAGTTTCCAGTCTGGAAACTGTTTTGCTCCTCATTTCTGATACATGTCAGGAAAGGCTACTTTTTAAACGTTTGTATGAATTAATGAAAAATAAGCACTTACTGCTAATTTGCCAGAGATAGCTTCTCTCCCTTGAAAAGGTGAACCCTCCCATGTCAAACAGGAATCAGGGGCCTGAGGAAATTACAATCAATGTTTATTTGACCATGAATCACAGTATTTACAACAGTAACTTCAACTATGAATGTAACGCTAGTGGATATTTGGTTTATAAGTGTTGATATTATCCATAATAACAGGCAATAATTTAATTGAGAATGAACAAACTTACATAAAGGTTACCCAGTGCTGTCCTGTTGGTATTGTCAAACTGGTTGTAATATTCTTGGACAAAACCCTCCCCAATCTTTTGCCATATTTCCTTTTCGCAAGCCATCTGTGAAGCTTTGGATCTGTAAAATCAAAAAGTATTGTTATTAGCAGTCAGTCAAAGCTGCATTCAAATAATGGCTGTTTACTGATGACACTTCAAAAATATATTTTCTAACATAGAAATGTTCTGGTCATTCCAGTTTTGAACAATACATACATGTAAAAACAACATCATAATAATCAGGCATGGTCACATTAAATAAACACTATGTATTGCTTGTTAATGCTTTTAACATGTACAAATAGTACTGATCCAAGGATTCTACCCTAGATAGAAATGCCAATCACTCAATTAGTTACAGTTATAACAACTTGACTCATGATAGAGAAAAGCTCAATCTGATGTTGTAAAAAGGAAATTAAAATCTCAATCCAAAGCTTTTTACACCTTTATCCTACGACAGGTTGCCCTACATTTAGCACTCTACATGTAATGGTTACTGGACAGGTAGGAGAAGACATTTGTCAACATAGTATGTTGACACTTTCACTATGGGAACATTCTCCCCAGATATGCTTTGTATTGATATGGGGAACATTTTGAGAGTTGTGGTAAAAGGTGATTTGTGAAGGTGGTCTCTCAGTGAAATTAATTCAGACAACCCATAATTATGTATATTTACGTCTCTGGAGCTGGTTAATTTGGCCACGAATGAACAGCTGGAAAACTTCCTTTACAATGTGTTAGATGTCAGTGTTCCCAGTGTTGCAACGATAAAACAGTTTAAAACCGTGACAAAACCAACAATTCAAACTTGTAATGCTGAATTGTTGTGTGATGGTTGCTAGTCATGCAATACGTTGTTGTCATTATCTCTATGTGTAACGCCTGGACAAAGCTGCATCATTTAAAAAAAAATATTAAACGAGTCTCAATAAAGATTAAAAACAGAATCAGGTCCATCAGAAAGCACTGGGCTAGCCTGGGGGTTAGCTACAGAAAGTGTCACGGCCATAAGCCATTCAAAAGCGTAAAGTTATAGCTAACGTTAGCACACAGATTTACTTTTCTCGGAACCGTTTAAGTTAATGTGGTCTCGCTGTTATATTCGTCTCAACAACACCGTGTTACTACAACTGGGGAAGCGGTTCTTTGGTAACATTGGACTCAAAAACAACACTTTACCGTGTCCAAAAGTTTTAGCTTACTTTTTCGATCGGCGGGCGAGCCAGCATGGAGATCCAGGCAATAACGATGGAGGTTCCCGCTTCCTCCGAGTTATGACAAACCGATCACGTCACTTACAGCTGACCAATAAGGGCTAACAACGTTGAAATACTTCTGCCCTGTGTTCAGCCTGTCAGGAGCTCATTCTCCCCGACTCCGTACCACCTTCAACCATGTATGTATTTATGATTATGAATAGGCTACTGTAGTACAGATGGTTTGACTCTAGTCCTGTCAATCATATGGAAGATGTAAATGACACGCTCAGAGCAAATACAGTCCACAATTCGGAGTCAACCCTAGTATGAAGGCGGGATTATTAATCAGGCTAAATGGAGGCGTTGTCTGAAAAACTAAATGTAGGGCTCAAAGACTCATCTTTTTAGTGGTGATGAGCTGACATTATTTAATTTATACATTTCAGTTGTTTAAGATTATGTTACTTATTTTAAAACAGACACTGTGAAATAAAAATTGAGTGCTGTGTTTTTAATTGGCAAAACCTATAAAGTTGTTGAAGGTATTATAAAGGCGGAGTGAAGAAACTTCAGTTGTACTGCCTTTTTGGAGTCATAGCTCAATTCATTAATCATGTTGCTATGCAACAATAACTTTATGAAAATGTAAGTAATAAGCATATTACCTCCTTCTTCCTATAATACTTTTGGCAGGAGGACAGTCAAAACACTTTGAAGCCTTCTCAGTTTCAATGTTAGCGTAGTTACTCCCTTTAGCTGTAAAAAAATAATGGGCCATAACACATAGGACAACACATATTTAATGATTATTTAAAAAAACATAAACCAAGATCCACCTGTAAATGAAACGTCTTTATTTTGAATTTTTGGCAAACAATTAAACAAATAATAAACCATAGCTTTAGCCATTGATTGTTCAATGGGTAAGGTTTACGTCACATCTCTTAGGTACAGTTGTCTCCCAAGGACGAGATTAAAGCTTTGTCCAGTTAAAGTTACAAAACTGAATCACATGAACTAAACAATCATCTAAAGTGTGCTTCATTTTAAAAGGTGCTATCAAAGATGTAGCCCAATATCATTTAGGCAAATGTCCCACATAGCCATACAGTCAGGCTATCAATAATGTAATTTTCCTGAAATGGAAGACATTAAATGCTTTACTAGAGGAGATCCATATTGCGTCTGGGAGAGTGATGAGACATTAGAAATACAGATTAATTCATAACAGCGTGCAGGTCTTCTTTACAAACACAACAGGAATGTTATTTATAAAAAAGCTGGGTTAATTCTTTGTGTAATACATTTTAAGATCTTTACAGTTCCTCCAATTGTACCTTGGTTACAGTGTCCTATTGGCAAGGGGGATTCCTTAGTCCTCCTGACTTCAAATCAAATCAAACATCTGACATTGTTTTCCACATAAATGGAGAAAACAAGCGTGACAGAGAGAAGACCCATTTAGGCACTTTTAAAAACATTTTGCTACAGTTCAGTGCTTGTTGCTGCCAGGAAAATGACACTCAAAAAATGCAGAATGTCTTCCCGCACTTGACTTCCAGTGACTTGTTCAGAAAGGCTACTATTGCTTTGTCGAGGCCCATGCACCAATAGCTCCTTTGCAATGGATGGCAGTAAAAGTAGTCTCTACAGTCTTCACCCAACAGGCCTCTGAGGTTAGAACCAAGTGTTGTGTTCAATGTTCTCGCATGTCACTGCTCTGGCTATGATGTGAAATAATCGTCTGTCCGGAACACGCTGGGGATTTCTTGACGCTGATGTGGTGCTGTTCTTCTTGGGCTGGTTGGTTTCTGTGATTAGAAGGACACAAAAGGAATTATTTAATATAAAACTCCTGCCAGGAGTATAGTCACAAAAATGGCTGGACAATATTCTTAACCGTTTGCTGGTTTTTACATGACAGTTCGTATGTAAACAAACATAACATTTATAGGTACTGAGCATACAAAACGCACATTTAAGAAGCCTGGGACACTGCGGAAAATCTTCTTGAAAGCACCGGGTAGCGTTCCTAGTTCTCCCTCTGCCAGCGTGACCTGATCCTCCATCTCGTTGACGTTGGCTCCCACCATCTTTACAAAGGCCTGCAGCCATTCCAAAAGCAAAAACCAGATACAATTGAGATCTATTCACACTGTTTGAGACCAAGAAAATCCAAAACAATTAAATAAAGCTAAAAGTCTCACAAGCCTTGCAGCTTTTTGCTTATTGATGAAGGTTTGTACTCCGATTAGTTGCTTGATAGGTTATAAGCATTTTAAAACAGTAACAGCGCTCCTAGACCGGTGTTCACAT